CGACTTTAAATAGAATACATACTAGATTAAGGAGTACGTATTGCAATATTATGATGAGTTGCCATTTGATTCGAAAATGTAGATATTAATTATGAAGATCTATGCTTATGATAAGAGGTGGTATGAACATGCGGTGCTGGTTATCCTCGAAAAACACCTCACAGCTTTCATATACCATGCATCCAATAGTATGAATTTGCTTTCAAACCATCATCACAGTGTAGGGTTCCTGCACTCTGACAGTAGGTGATTTAAAGCTTACCACTATAAAACAGACCTTTCTGGTATGATTAAATGTTTAAATAACATATTTGTCTCAACCACCGTAGCTCGCTGATCAAATGTGATGTGGAATTTCGACCATCTTACCAAGTCAGAAACCGACAGTTGGGAATACAAGTATCACCCTTAACACACTGCAATGTATCATATCCGCAGTTACCCCAGGTAACCCCCTTCAGATGACTAATATTGATAGGTGAATAGTGCTTTTTAACAAAACTGATTGGCGAAAGTTCGTCACCTCAGTAAGTGACTCAGCTTTTAGTTCTATCGATGAGAAAGACATGAAGAACATCGGAGTGAGCGGCAGCTTAATTTATTACCATCGACATCATAACATGGAAGTGAAGCCCAAAAGAATGGGGGTAGGGGAGGTGAATACTATGTTTTTAGAAGTGGTGAAATGAGGGTAAAATAAAAAAAAGGATGCAGCATCACGCTTCAGGTTGAAGAATAGAATGAATAAAACACTTTGAGCTACATCAATTAACCGTCAAATACCGGTTACGATTGTTTAAAAAACTCCCGCTTGTATGCCCTACACAGTGCGGACTAAAAGCCTGTCTTGAAGGGTTCCCACTTGACTTGAAAAACCTAGGGTTTTTTCGAACTTAACTCTGTTTGGGCTGAAATAACACAGTAGGGTAGACAATGGTCACGCATGCTTACCACATGACTAAATCACCTAACATGTGATTCCACTTCTAACCTCTACGATGTACAATAGTAATATTATGAGACAACGAACTGATGAGTTATACACTCGACATCTTATCGCAACGATAAGCGATGCAGCTTTTAAACGAATCAAGAGAATGTTGTGTCGGTAGTGAGATTTTGTCGGATACTAGCCCACTAAAGCTAGTGAGATTTCTGAATCATATAAATCATGAATCTACTGCAATGCTACGGGAGTAAATGCAATATTAAAATAAATTACAGACTTGGAGCTTTACACAGTCAATTTTTGAAATAGAATGAAAACGATGTTTGAAAAGTCAGTGTATGACGGACAGTGGATATTTCGAAGGTAGAATAGTTCGTCGAAAAAGAAAAACGTTTTTTGTATCCATGTCAACACTCCATCACTTACTAACTTTTCCAAGGCGATACGACTTCCAACCTACTCAATTTTTTTCAGTCGATGCACAGTACTCCTAAATGAATAATTTTTGACAGACAACTACTGAACGCGATAGGTCTGCAGTATCCATGATTTTTAAAAGTTAAGAGCAATTGAAGAAACCAGTTTTGCCAACAATGCCTTTCTTTAGGCCGCCTACTTATGTGCGTTACTGTAGTGGGTGTTGCTGATCAGAATGGATATAAGTAGTACAAGTTGGGAGGGTGGCAGAAATCATAGATAATTACCTTCAATGGGTAAATATTCTGCCCAGAAAAACGCAAGAGACAATGTAGGCGTATTAGGAGTAAATCAAGAAGCAGAGGAGGAAAGGAAGTACACTATGCAAATGACTATCTCAGTGAAAGGTGTACAATATTTGATGACTACTGTACAAGATGTCAATACTTAGCATTCCTTCCTTCATCTACATCTTGTCATTTCCTACACTACTTCTCACTGCAACGAAATTATCATTAGATGTGAAGTTTAAGGAGTACAATAGAAGGGGCATCAATTATCCTGACAGTATGGTGTTTCATTTACATTTCTGGACAGTTGAACAATTCAATTTATGATTCCGTTTCTGACATAACGACAATTAATTTTTAGCCCTGATTGGATGCACGGAGCACTCAGACAACAAGAAACAAGTGCTCAGATCACCCCAGAGTAGTTGAACGAAGTACAGCTTTTCATTAAGCTACTAGATACGAACTCAAGCATCACAGCTTGCATCATACTAGTTAAATTTTGGTTATATTCCAAATTTTATATGAATCACCGCTGAGCTACATTGTTGTTTTATATTTCAGGTATGGAAGTACAATGAAGGTGAAGTGACTCATGTCGGTTTAGGACACACATCACCAATAACTAGGTTACGTATATCTCCTGATCAGAAAAATGTTATAACAGTAAGCGAAGATGGAGCTATTTATATCTGGGAAATGCCTCCAATGACCGAAGTCAACTAGGAAAGATAATGAACTCAATCTACAAGAAACATAATGAAAACTTATCGATTTTTTGATGACTGAAAACACAGTACACATATATACCAATCAGTCTTCACAAAAACTGACACATACATGCATACACACACACACCAACCCGATAGTCTCCTCATATACATATTAACAATTCACAATGATGAATACATCGCTTGGTAATAATGAAAAAAAGTGAATAAACAAATAAACGATAAGCTCTAAAAGCAGTTTTATTTCTATTCGTTCACTAGTTTATATAAATTCAATGATCAAAAGACTAAAATTAAGGAATTGTTTATACCTTCACACTTGTTATTGTTATCCTGATTTAGTATTAAAGGTGTGTAGGTTACGGAGAAGTATTATAGAAAAGCAAAAGAAAAGGTAACTCGCGCCAAAAACAATAAATAACAGATAAGTGAAGAGATTACAGAGGTTAATTTATTTATTAGAAATTGATTGATGGTTATTTTTTCTAACTTCACTAGGAAACCAGATTTATTTCCGATGGTTCTTTATGAATGCAATTAGTCCATTTGTTGAAGAATCATGATTGGTAACTGCTTCATTTGAAGTCAGCTCGGGTTGAATTTTTTTCGCCAACACCTTACCCAGTTCCACACTAGTATTGTTAATAAACGAAAATAAGCATGTGTGTTTCAAATGTAAAATTACCACGCTGATATCAGATGAAGAAAAAGAAACCCGTTCAAACATCTCAATTGGTTTAAGGTCATTCTATGACACCAGACTGTCATATCATAGTCTACGAAATACACATACACGATCAATAATGATAGGTAGTATTCCCAGATATCCGGCTATTGGCCTCTGGATAGAGAAGCCAGCTTAGTGCAGAATTTTACTTATTTGGATTTATCTTCTGGAGCAATTTCCACAACAGTCTTGCTACCAGTCCAACCATAGAAATGTTTAAAGGGATCAGGAATGACTTTGGGAGCCATAAATCACGGCTTTAGCTAACTTATCTCTGCAGAACACTGAGGCTACAGTTATATCAGAAAAAAAATCCTCATTTGTTATCAGCACAACCAATCTCATCTGCTTCCTTTTGTGCGCTTCCACATCTATACTTAATTCTATTAATTATCCACAGTTCAAATCACATAAAGAAGACAGTTTAAGGTAGTGAGCTGATTGAATTAATGGCTTTCGATAAAATAACTACGTGAAGTCATAGAACAGATAGAAGCACACATCGAATCCTGTGAATGTCTTCTCACTTCGATACTAAAGTTAAGTGAAAAATCAATCTGCAGTATCTTCTAGGTACACATGGAAAAGTTGTGTTCATCATGGGTGTAAAGTTTCTATTTTCAACTTCAATTTTCTAACACACGTTTCCGTATGCATATTCACTACTACATAGATTGAAAAGTGAGAATACTAGGAGCGATCGTAGTGCATTTGCATTTTGCTTGATTATTACAAGCGACGAAATAAGATACACGAGACAGTAGTAGTGTCGATAATAAAGATGAAAGAATTCAAGATTCATTGTACAAATTTCAATTATATTACTAGCGTGTGTGTAACAGTTCAACGAATGACTAATTGTCTAACAAATTACGGTATTTTAATTGGTGATTGGTGAGGACTGACTGATTCGAAAATGGTATTCATCACGGACTGACATCAGTTGGAGAGCCTATGAAAACTCAGGAGCAGTGGGCGGTCTTTCACCCAAGTAATGGACTACCCAGACGTGCGCATCCATAACCCTACCGAAGATTCAGCCTAGGATTGCCAGATCTCATGGTGAGTGAGTAACCATTCAGATAGCTAATTAACGTCATACTACAATTTTCATTGTCGTTTAAAGCTTACCAATCAAATGAAGGAATGCAAGCACCGGTGACTTCAGTGCCTCAAGTTTTAAACGGTGTAAATCAGTATCTTACACCTACCAGGGGTTCCTGCGAGTGTCAATGTGGACCATACAACTTGGGAATAGCATGCAAATATACTGTCCCATACAAGTCAGCTAGCTGGATTCCGCTGATGATATGAACAGTTCGACTGTGAGCTGAATTTGTTCGGGTACATCACTGATAGGCATTGTCCTAGATGAGTAAAACGACGGCGAAATCTAGCTACTTAGGTCGTTCAGCAACATATTTATCAACATTTTTAACTGAATGAATGAATGAATGGAGCAGTTTCGATTATCTGAGTGCCAATTCTTCCGAATGTGTAGAATATTCTCGACAATGAAAACTACACATACAGCTTCCTTTCGGTTACCTCTTAGTATTGAACATAAACATAGATGTATCGAAATGTTGAGGTGTTGTGCTTAATGACCAACGTAAAATTCCGATATGTTACTATTTAATGACCGATAAGTGTTGTTTTGATGAGTCTCTGTGTATCAAATTAACAATAGTAAATATTTGATAGGTTAAAAAAATACACTAACTCCAATTTACATAAAACAATTTAACTTGGGGAATTCAACGTGTAAAAATTGGCAAATATTATAACTTACCCCCACTGATCAAAGGAATTAATATTCCATATAATTCCCTGAACGAATATCTTATGCTCATACATAGCAATTAGAGCACCCAACATATCAGGCGTCAATTTTGTAAATACAATTGAGTTGGATGGACGATTACCCTTAAAGCTTCTGTGCAATGAAATGATTCTAACTTATCACCCGTAACTCCAGCAGCAAATAATTCTTTATGAACTTGTTCCCTTGTTTTACCAGTCATTAGAGCTTCAGTTTGAGCCAAAAAGTTTGATAACAAAATCTAAGCAGTGGGGATATTGAATTGGAAAAATATTGACAGTTAAGTGTGGAACATCACAGACAGAGTTAACTCGCTAAAATAAAACAAGTATCGATACCAATTTTTTTAGATTTGTGATGATGAGGTAGCTCCTACAATGAAAGGCCAGTTGTTTCTGAATTGCAATTTTACACCAATAAAATATCTTGATAACAATCAAAAAAACATCGACACAAGGCTTGAAGATCATTTATTACTATTATTTTTCCCTTGGGTTCCTAGCGGAACATAGGGCTGCAGTAGCACGCCTCTATTGCACTCTCTTCTCTGCAGTCTCTTCAACCTGGCACCACGACTGCCCACATTTCATTTCTTCCTCGTACGATCTCCTCCATATTACCCTCGGACGCCCAACTCGTCGTTTCCCCATTGGATTCCACCCAAGCACCTGGTCTGGCGCGTGATGTTCCCAATCGGCCTTCTCAGTGTATGCCCAACCCATCTCCACTTTCTTCTGCATATTTGTTGGGTTGAAGATGATGGAAATACGGAAAAACCATTCAAAAGGTTAGTGATTCGTTTCGCCAAGCTTCAACAAAAAGAGTTTAAAAAAATCTGTAACACAATCCTCAATGTCTATACAGCATGAAAACACCAGAAACTGGTATGCTGGGACTATTTCCATAGAAGAGAATTCTTTAATATTAAAATGTTACAAAAAAAGTGAAAAATAGGATGAACTGGAACCAGCACAAAGACTAATTGTTTACAATGCAAACCTGACATGGTTCAGATTTGAGAGCATCACGTTTTGATACATTACACTCTGAAAGATTCACAAGAAACCAATCTCCCGATACTTTAATTTGATCCTCGACCCACTTAACAACATGTGAGAAAAAGTAAGATATGAACACATTTACTATCGCTTCGAAATGATGGTGAACAGGAAGAGAGATTGCAATCAAGATACTCAGGGAGTGAGAATTCGCCTACGAAGACGTGCGATGCTAGCAGAAGTTGGATTAAGGTTCACAGTGGCCAGACTTAAGTGTGGCACCAATCTATAAAGTCTTTTACTGTTGACCTGAGCTGTGTAGAGAGAGGTGTAGACCATCTGTCTGGGGTGCCTGAGACAATATAAAGCAGTGGTCAGAAACTCTTGGTGACATGGAGGAAAATCGGTCACACTGGCGCAGATGTATTCACTTTTTGACATCTAAAGCTTGAAGTCTTGACTAACGTTTGTCTTCAAATTGTTTATTCTCTCATACACTTTGTCTACTTTGTTATGTCTCTCTCCACCCCCTTTTTCGTTTCATACTACTGTGAAGTGTGACAGCTTGAATGGATGCACTTCTGTGCGAGATTCTGGGTTGATTTTGTATGTTTATCTGTCTGGAAGTGAGTTTACGAAACCAGAATTCTAACTTGAAACCAATCAATCCCCAAACACCGCAAAATGAGATTCCTTTAACAATGGACTCCTTATAAAAATCAATTACTTTAAGCCAGAGCTACTGACATGTGGCCAGTGAACATATGGCTCGTTGGTTTAAGTAGTCGACTTCCAGGCAATGGGTACCGAGTTTAAGTCTTCATAGTCTGTTTCAATGTGAAAAACCAGGCAATATTATTAAGCCCTCATATAAAAAGTGTGACTCACAGCCTAGCACCTAAACTTATACTTATTTGGGTCGCGTCACACTTTCACTGTTATGGATCGGAAAAACTTACCATTTTTCAACTGTTTCTCTTAAAACTGCTTGCAGTAGTGATGCGATTTCCAAAGATTACCTATTGAAACAAACACACTGAATAATATAGTACAGAAGATATAAGAAACTAAAATTTAACTTTTATGCTTTGTACAACTAACCTCATGATGTAAGCCACTCTGAACTGGATTATGTGTATGAACAGGTATCAAAAAGTCACAAGGAATAATTCTAGTGCCTTGATGAATAAGTTGATAAAATGCGTGCTGACCGTTTGTTCCAGGTTCCCCCCAAACAATAGGACCCGTAGCATAATCAACCTCCTTAGCATCACGGGTAACAAACTTTCCGTTCGATTCCATATCACCTTGTTGGAAATAAGCAGGAAAACGTGACATGTACTGATCGTATGGTAAAATCGCTTGAGTCTCTGCGCCATAGATATTGATATATAAAACACCCAACACAGCTAAGATGACAGGTATCTGCAAAGCAAGATACAATTTGCCAATTACGTGAGAATTGAACACAAAGACAAAATCAAGACATTACGTTGAGTTTTAAAGTGAAAATTAACAGGGACAAAGTATGTTGATGACACTTCAGCTTTTACAAACTTTAACTGTGAAAGCGGAAGTTTAAGATTTTCGTTTCAAGAATCTAATAAGTACACGTGAATGAAAAAGGAGAAAATTGGAATAGTAAGAACTGAGCCAGTTGATTTTCATCTATTTTTTTAGGTTTATAAACCATGGTGACAATAAAATAACACCAACTTATTTCAAAAATTAACAACTACTATTAGCGGTGAAACGGGCACTTCACATTTGCCAGAAGTTTGCTCTTTTGGTTTATAATTAGGACGTCTATGAACACATCTTTACAGACATTATAACAAATGCACTGTACATTTAAGTTAATTACTTTCAATCTCAGAAAAAGAGTTTGGATAATTCTCTTCTTTAAGACTGGGATCGGAAACACTACCTACTAAAGTGTTGGATGTGTGCAACTTGGCGTCCATGTGAAACATAATGTACCTAGATATGAGACATGCCTATTCACAGGTAATATCATTTTAGTAATAAGCTCAGAACCAAAAGAAATCATTTCATAATAAAATGTGGAAAAACTCACATAAGCATATCTATACATTGCTATGTAAGAAATTGGTTACAGAATACAGAAATGCATAAGTATAGTGACGGATGCTCTATGCATAGCCAATAGTAATAAGTAGATGCAAGATAATAACCAACTACCTCTTCGTTAAGAAGATGCCATCAAACAGAAAGCAGTTCCTTTTGTTCTACTATGTGGCTGTGAAACATGACCTTTAGAGCTAGATTTGAGAAAGCTTCAGATGTTCGATCGTCATCGCCTTCGTAACACGGGCCGTGCCTTGAGATGTCACCATATCAGCAATGTAAACATCAGACATAGTTTCGGGTAGAAGAAGTAGGTAGGTTGAAGAGGTTGTGAACCTTTATCAACTCAGATAGCCAAGGCATGTGTTATGCATGCCTAGTCACCGTTTACTTCATAGTACTATGTTGGCTGAAGTGGGATTAAGCTGGAGAAAGGTTATAGGCCGCTAGACTAAACTATGACGTCAGTTCATGAAATCTTTGACTGTTGTTGTGAGTCACATAGAGAGGCGTAGACTTAGATTATGGTCCATGTGACAACAAAAATCTGTGGTTAGAAACATTAAGGTGATATGGCTCGAGATTGATGTCAGTGGTGCAGAAGCATCCATATATTATAGTCATCACAAATTTTACAATTGTCTTATTCCTCCTTGTTTTACATTCACGACTGTTTACTACTTCTGACAACCCTTTTTTCTTACTTATCCATTTCCAATCTGTATATCAACCACCTTGATGTGCTATATAAGGCGTTGCAACCTGGGCTGTAACGCAGCAATGTCAGGTCCCATATTGATGTTGACTGAGTGAGATAAAGAAATGTTGGAAAAAGCAGGTAAAGGGCGAAGTCAACCATCCCGCATAACTTACTTAATAAACTAAAGTGATAACAGGATGTCGGAAACATTTGACAAGGATCTGATGACTGAAGAGGTACATAGAAACAATCTGCATACTACTTTCTTGAACTGGAACTGTTGAAAGCAATTCAAAATCGAAACAATTAAAAATACAGCCTACCTTAACACAAGTACTTGTTCATATTAGTGAAACAGAAAAGGTGAGTGTATAAAGAAATTCAGTCGAAATCATCAAAGTTAAGGATAGACAGTAGTGACCACTCATCCATACGCGCAAAGCCAGCATCACCGCCTACAAGAAACAATCTCTGGCTAACCATTATTCAATTACAGTTTAGTCCTGTTCAAGTAAATGCACATACACACACACAGTCGTTATAATCACAACAAAATTGATAATGTAGAACTACTGTAGTGATAAAAAGTGCTAGTTAACTTAAGAAATAGTCAAAAACTTCTCGGTCTGCGCCCCCGTTTAATTGTAACAGTAGTTACAGAGAAAGCAGTATAAGACTGCATGAGTAATTTTTCAGTACAATAACTTGTTTGCTGAATAGGTTGGTATTTTGTCAATGCTACAATTGGCATGCTAGGGATTACTAGCCATAAACTATGCATCCTGTAAATTTGAGTATTTTCCGGGAAACTTACTACGTGGCAAGTAGTCATTAATATCTAAAGTTATTTTGTTATATTACTTTTTATCTAAAACTGTATTACTAAAATGAAAAGTCAACTTAGAATAGTAAAACTGTTTTAAATCATCCTATTGACTATCCCATGAATACCATGAGGGATGCTGTAAATATGATGTTACTGATCCCTCTACCGACTAATAAATCCGTTTCTTCTGGTCGTCTCCTGTCTTAATTAGTAATTGTGAGTGCCTACGACAGGGAACCATTTGGCGTATTCGATGACCACATAGCAACACATCAATTAGATTTTCCCAGTTATTAGCTATTTAGAGTCACTAAAACAGCCTGACATATAGGATGATAAATACTTGCACTTACAATATCCTCTTATAAACAAACTAGGCACGGAGAGTTTATTACTAAAAAGGGAATAAACATCGCTCATTTCAGTATCTTCTACTGAGTATCTGGAAACGTGCACATATAGACCCTACAATCTCTCAGATTGGACTACACATTGTTCTTACTAGGTGTACATTGTCCTAATAAAACAATGGCGATCGAAAAAATCCGTTGAATATCCCCGACTCGAGCAGAACCTCGGACGTGATAACATGCACTAAAACTAAGCTCGGCTGATATAACGAAGAATTCAACTTCATGTTACGTCAAGTCACGTTATGTTAATTTACTAAACTGAGCAGTAATTTATTAAGTGATGGTACTAATTACCTTACATTCAAAATCTATAATCGAAAACTAGAATTTCAAAATACTGACTGCATTAATCATAGATCTACGTTAACCGCAGTTATCGAAAAACTAAATTTATCACTTTTACTTCTGGTAACTCAAAACATGTTTACAAATCTTTGAGCAGAAACTGGAGAATCTACTACCGAAAACATAGCTTAAGTGTCAAACTCATTTGCAGTACTGAGTCATTCATACTGTTTTATAATGTAATTTGGAAGTATATACAAAGTTCACCAATAAGGTGTGAACATCAAGAATAGAATGTAGCCTGCCAACTATCTGTTTTCTTTCGACCTTATTAAACTGATATATATATATATATATATATATATATATATATATATATATATATATATATATATATGTTTATATCTGATTAGACACTTTGTAGAGGATAATAAGGATGACAAAAACAAAGTGCACTACATTAATTAACATTTCTATAATCACATAGATGAACTACGTGCATCTATATGATAACAATAACAAAACAGATTTTACATCTAGATGTGTGAAGCCCATAAATGCGTACAATTAGAATTACATGATATGAAGAATTGACTAAGTTTTTATAACATAGCACACGATGATTAACAGAATAACATTATTTACATCTGAATCATTCATTCTTATCAAAAATAATATCTCTATGATCTCTCTGGAGATATAGACACTAACACATACTGAACCGCATTTTAGTGATGTTTTGTGACTTTAATCAGACTGAACAAGTATTGACTATCTAACACAATTGTTTACCAGATAAAAACTTCAGCATAATTTGTACAGAATTTCGCCATGAGCAATATACTAAACTGGTCACTTAGAATGAATATTCCATTCACAACGAGATCAAGTGAAGATGGACCAATGTGAAAAAATGACGATACCAAAACACCTGATTCGATTGTGACCATTTTCTAACCCTTGATTCAGTGTTTGTGAGTGACAGCACCCGAGAAATATAGTTACAAAACAACTGCTGAATTTTCTGAACATATTATGAGCAAAGGTTGGTTATACAACATCAGATATAATGTTCTGGTGGATTTTTGAGACAACCAAGAAACGGCAAAATATCTATTTCTAAAACAATCTACAAAGTATAGAAACAGTCAGTCAACTAAAATGCACACGATACCAGTGGTTGTGCAGAGGGATTGAAGTAGAGAACGAAAACTTCAGTTCCATTTACATTCTACTTATCCGTTACAAAATTCAGTGTTTATTTGGTTCATTCACTTTCTATTTTTGCATTTTTTTAATGATTGAACAGTTGAACTTTTTCGCCAATTTCTCTGAATTGAATAGATGGAATTATAGTCAAAAACCATTAAAATATCTTTATTTGAGACATTCATAAAAAGAACAAAAGATCAAAGAAACCTTGGTAAAACGAGAATGTTCAAAGTGTATCGACGATGTCCAATTTTTATACTTTAATCATCTCATAATTCAAAACATGAGCGATCAAGGTGAGACTCACATTCTTATGCAATGGCATTTCCCTGAAATGCTTGTCCATTTCATGGGCTCCTTCCAGCAGCTTTATGAAATTTTCCATACCTTAGTGGAAAAGAAATTCAAGCGAAACAAAACGCTAGCATTATCAACGTTTACAAATGAAGAGGCTATTTAAAAACTTCCATGGAAGTAACAGAAATAATGCAACGATAATCTATTTAAGGCGGAACCCAAAACAGTTACGTCACGACCCTAATAATTAATGTCTACAGAACTTAGTCTAAAGTATACACGAGTAAACTCTCTACTAGTTTGTCGGAGATAAATTAAATTCAGTACTAACCAATTAGTGAATGACATGAAATGGCTATGTGGCTAAACGTGCTCAATTACTGCTCTTCTGAAGCTAGCTTCTGGTACAAATTTAGATCTAAGCAGTGTAAAATCTTAGCCTCCTACGAAAAAAACCCATTAAAGACTAGTACATGTAGTAATACAAAACATTGAGTTAACACTTGTGAAAAACAAAGATATTTGAGTTCGTTTACTACTTACGCAGTACATCAATTCGCGATTTAATTCAAGAAAGGTTTATACAAAAACTGAATACACCGAATGAACAAATTGGTTATAGTCAAAATGCTCACCTTCCCATAAGTTATTTGAAGAATGAATTGTTAGCTACTGAAGAAACTCGACTTCTGAAAGTTTAAATATAACTTTGAAGTTTTTTCTTCAACTATTTGAAAACCAGTCAACAAAGTAACCAAGTGGTTACAAACAAAAACAGGTTTCATGCATAGCTCTATAGTTGGGGATTTTTCTCAATTTATTTTTTGGAGACTGTCTTCGCTTCATTTTATTCTGTAAACTTGTCAAAGTAGCGTTGTTTGCTTTGCACACAGTCTAACTCACTTACGTACAAAAACTTGTACTTTATGTTGCTAGATGTTTTCAAACGTCATGTGTGTTAAATAAGTGTTTTTGAATCGGAATAAGAAAAACAAACTTCCAGAAACGTTGTTACTGGTAATAATTAATAAGATATCTTAAATCACGATAACAGTTATTTATTTTCTGAGGATTTATGATTCCACTTGAACGTTTCGCTGTTACCAACTTTTTCAGATTTTACTCTGCAACAAGATGTTCAAAATCAGAGTTAACAGAACGCTAAACACCTGTGACCACTATTAGTGGTATAACATGAAACTGAGACATTTAAGTGCTAATAATTTAAAACCAATGTAACAAACTATGTGAACAATTCATGAACAACAATTTAGATGGTAACTTGAAGGAATGGATCAACACTTGTTCTTAAGTCAGTGAATGGATAAGGTGCGAGAGTTTCCAAAACTACACAAAGTGAGCATACACTGAAGTTAGGTTACATTATGCCAAAATACCACTGTGGGTAAACTAGATAAGATAATACCTGAAAGTTACCTTTCGATCATGAAGGTTTTATTTAACAAACGGAAAAAATAGATAGATCGAACGAACGAACGAACGAAACGCAATCAACGACCTTGTGCACATCCGTGCAGTAGGCGATGAGCCACACCGATTGTAAGAGAGCTAGCGATACAACTTGGCTGCCCGAACCTCAAAAGACGAGGCGCGGTTCGAACCCGTGACACACCGGTTGATAGTCATTTCCACAAACCACTGAGCCACAGCTCCGCAGATGCACCAAACAATGTAGAATTTTGTACAAAAAGTATGCAAGCATAGTACACCATTTAACACCAAAAATAAAGTTCATAAGAATTCAATTCATTAACCCTGTACAACTTCATATCTATAGTTGTGAACTACACCATGATGGGATAAACCAATTGCTTGCACCCAAAATGCAATTAACTTACGACTGACTCTATAATACGAGTGGTGTCAGCAGCTATAACATCATAAATACATGTAAACCAATTCCAAGATATCACAAAGAGAAATTATCGCATTCAAAGCAAATGACTTACCTACATAAAGAGCTATTGATAAGCCGATTGCTGACCATAGAGAATAACGGCCACCAACCCACTGAAATATTAAAACGTAACTGACTTCATTTAGTATATACATAATACAGACACAGTTCAGAAAACTACTGATGAGCATAGAAAGTGAGGTTTCTAGATAAAATACGTTATACATATGGATACATTATGAAAAGCCTTTTGGATGTAAGTAGCTAATGTACATCGTATGTGTAGAGCTGTTGCTCATTGGTTTAGGAAGATAACCGATGGGTCACGGGTTTGAGCACCGCTCCATACACAGAGGTTTAGACAGTCAGGTATTATCACTTGCTCTCACACAATAGGTGTGGCGCATTGCTTACTGCACAAATGTGCACAAAGCTGCTGAGTGTAAAATACACTGAACATAACTGATGACGTTTTGATATCCATTTCAGTCTCAACAACTCTTCAATACCTGAGTGGGACGTAAAACATCTTGAATATAAGCTTGATAGGTGATACACACTTTGTTAAGGGTGATTAAAATTTCCCATTGTCGTTCATTAATAGACAGTTCAAGAAAACTTATTAGTTGGTAGCAGTTTACAGTAGCACGCAGTCAACTTTTTGAGCAGTGCTTGTAATCTATTCATATTAAAAGAGATACTAGATAATAGTCGCTTCAGGGATATTTCAGTGAACTTTAAAGGCAATAAGTAGTTGAACGACAGTTTTCACCAGGGAAAATGACCTCACTTGATCAACTAAGTCTGATATAGGTCCTTAGTAAGAGCCACTATGAGAGAGGGGGGGGGGGTAACAGTAACTATGAAGCGAGTTAGGTTGAAATTCCCCTATAAATTTTCTAAAACGTGGTATTTTTTAGATAAACTTACATCCAAAACTCAAACATATTTTCTGCTGCGATCCCGAATTCTCGAACTTCTTTAGCATTTGTCGACAAAGCAACAAAGTGTTTGGCAACATGAGATATCTATATTGGTAAAAATAGTAAAATTAAAATCTTTTGTTTCATCTTTAGAAAACTAGGTGTTAATATGCAATGTCAAACTAAGTTCATTGGTGAACGAAAATCAACTAAAGGATCTAAATGCATACCAAAACTATTTATTCTAAACTAATAAACAGCATCTGACAAAGCAGAAAAAATTAAACCATAATACTTACATCTTTCGCATGCTCCAAGAACCACTTTTTGGCAGAGTTGGCATTAGTCATTGTCTCGATCGTAGTGAAAGTCTGAGAAAAATTTAGTTAAAAAGGTTGAAATGGTACGAACCTGAGGTGAAAGTGTTATCAATTAACCTTCTACATAAAAGACAACACAAAAAATCCAGAAAAAACCCGGGAAAATCAACTTAAAAATTATTAAGTTAGCAAGGAGTTAATTAAGAGCACATCATTGTAAATAAATAAGCCGTTCTGCTAACCAGTTGTTATGGATTCAGACTCTATTTTAACTATTACCGGTGTCTGGGAGTCAGACAGGCATAATTAACCCAAAAGCAATATGCTTAGGCCATCCTGATGTGTGAACGAGAAAGAGACAGAAAAATGTAGATTATCATTTGAATATACATCGCTATAAACTTTATAATGAATGAATATATAGACGTTCTATTTCAGTTTGTTATAAAGATTGTTGGAAGGTAAAGTCTAATGAAATCATTAAAATAAATGTATCTCAGCGACGATATGCAATTTTACTAGCCCCAACTACTGTGAAGGCAGTGATACTAACTGGCTAACTACATCTCTGTAGGTGGAACGAGGTTGCAGTTTGTCTTGAAATACTTCGTTCGGTGTGCTAAGGTAGGACAATGAATACCAAAGCGAGTTTATAGATGGCTTCTTCCAGAGGTATTTGTGTGAAGAAAAAAAAGTGAGTTATAACAATCAAGTTGTTTTAGCTAACGGACGATTCGGCGTAAAATGCTAACTTCTTACGGGAGAGGTATTAAACGCTGTATTACACAAAACGTACGCTGATGCCGTTCACACAGATGCTATAAGTTCTGAGCATGAAAACTCAAAGTGAAAGAGTAATAACACTAATATCTGCATAAACATTATCATGCCCTGCGTAAGAGGTCAGTGAGTGCACTACCACACTAGCAGATCTAAGTGCAGACTGATATTAGCTATTGCACTATTTATATGCAACTGTAACGAATGAGGTCAGATTTAATCGAAAAGCCAGATGATCTACTAAATTATCCTGTGCTGAGAATTCCGCCCTTTTAGACTTCACTTCTTTTAATCTTTTTGAAATCTTTTTTTGAAATGGAGATTTTTATTTTGAGGTATTATTCATCACAAACTGACATCAGTTTGGGAACCATTGAAAGGCTAGGAGTACTGGACACCTGTTCCGTCCTCCGACCCAGTGACTGAATTGTTAAGGCGTTCGCCATGAAACCTGAATGTCCTGAGCTCGATGCCTAGCCGGGTCGTGGGTGAGTACTACTGAGTCTCATACTGAGACTAAACAGCTGTCCAGTGCTCCCAGGTTTCCAATAGTTCCTTAACTGATGCCAGTCCGTGATGAATGTTACCTTGCTCTGTATGTTGACAATGCCACCGTGTTGTGATTTTTCATATATCCAGCATGGACGAGAGTGCATCGATCAAATTTTCACTCTTTGTCAGGTTATGGAACACAAGTATAATTATTGGTGGGCGAAACTTGCCATATTTCTTGACCTCAAGGTGGTACTCGACTTTGTCGACCATGTGATGTCGTGGCGGTGTCTGACTGTGAAGGGAGTACCGAGAAAGCATGTAACGCTGATCACAGCTTTTTGATCAAGCTCATGTAGCGGTAATGGCTTATGGACAGTGGTCCTTTAATGCGATGACAACTAGTGGTGTCCAACAGGGATGCTCGACATCACCGGTCCTGTTTAATTTCGTTACAGATACCTTAGGTACCTCTGATTTCATAGGGACTGATCTACTTCATGAAAGGTATCTGGTTGATTTGGGGTATGCGGACAACAAAGTTCTGCTAGGTGAAGATAGTGACAAAATGCATGGCCTTTTGAACTCCTTAAGCAGAAATTTGTCAGTGTTTAACATGGATTTCGCACCTGTCAAATGTGAGACGATGTTTCAAGACTCGTTTGCACTTACTCCTAGTTTGATGATAGGGAGTGAAGTGGTTGAATACGTAGATCAATTCACTTAGTTAGGGAGCTGCTGACGAAATCTCAGCGCGGATACAATCATCATTCCTGCGTAACGGGTCGAGTTGCTACACTTCATATCAGCACATCAAGTTAAAAGGCAGTGAAGTGGAAGATAAAGAAAACAACATCCAGTCGAAAGAAATATAAAGTACCAAAAAAGAGAAAGGAAGAATGAGAGAATGGTGAGATTCGGTATAGCGTCGTTAAGATGAGGATAATGTATGTACACATCTGAGCCGCTGACATCGGTTCTGAGTCTCCAATCGGTGGTTCCTCTTAATCCGCGGACCTGAACCGGCTAATCTGCATTGCCCCACATGGCTCAAACTAACAGCCAAACACTTCATACATTGGTGTCATGTTTTAGTCTGGCCGCCTCGGGCCTTTTTCCAGCCTGAACTTACTTATGACGAGGCAGTCGGCGATTAGGTGTATATAACATGTGTCCCAACCATCTCAGTCAATGAAGGTTCATAACCTCGTAAAACCGACTTACCTCTACTCCCTAAAACTCTGTGCCTGACTTCTGAGTTACTGACGTGGTGACACCACGGAATACGGCCTATACTACGAAGGCAACGCTGGTCAAACAACTGAAGCCAGCCTTCTCATGTCTTCCACCTCCAACGGCCATGTTTCACAGCCACATAGTAGGACAGACCGGACTTCTGTAGACAGCACACGCGACCCTTAATAGATAATCGGATATCCGGCGGCGCCATAGGTGGCGTAAATTGGCAAAAGCCAGATGAGCCTTTTGTATCGGTGCACACATTTCATCGACCACTGACCCACCAGGGCTGATTCTATTTACAAGGTAAGTGGAGTGGTCGATACACGCAATCACTATACTCTCTATTATTAGCCGTGGCACCGTTGAAGACCATTCCTGAAGCAACAACTTGCATTTGGGTGGTGAGAAACACATCCCATTCTCAAATTGCCACTCAAAGTGTCCAGAAGACACTGCATCTTGTCAGCGTCTTCACCTAACAGGACTATGTCATCTGCATATTCTAGGTCTAACGAATATTCTCCTGAGGTTAGGCCAACCTCTGTGTAATCAGGTGACGAGAGGGAGACCTCCATAAGAATATCTATGATAAAATTGAATAAGAATGGAGACAGTGGGCACCCTTCACGGACACAACTTGACGAACACAGCTACCCGGACATCTCATCATAGGCTCTAACATGCCCACAAGTGTTTGAGTAGAGCCTTCAATAAGGTGATGTACTTACTCGGCACGCCTTTCAGTGACAGACATTGTCATAAGACTTCTTGACCAACGGAGTCGAATGCCGCCTTCAAGTCCAGAAATATAGATACTGTCGGGCGTCGATAAGCGTGTCTGTGTTCCAAAACCTAGTGCAGTGTGAATATTTGGTCAATATACCCGCTGCCAGGTCTAAATCCTGCCTGGTGTTTTCGGGTTTACTGTTCCCGAGCTCCACTCAGACGTCGAAGAATTATAGAACTTAGAGTTTTTGACACTATGTTTGTCAGGCTGATTCCTCAGTGGTTATCAGAAGAGGACTTCTCGTCTTTCTTGAAGACTGGAATAATCAGTGATTTAGGCCAGTCAGAGGGGATCGTGTTTGATTCCCATACACTAGTTAACACTTCCGTCAACCTGACTAAGAGCACTCTACCAACATCCTTGTATACCTCAGCAGGTAGTCCGTCTGGTCCTGTCGCCCTTCCCCGTTTCAGGTTACCTACTGCTTTCTCAACTTTTGCTAGTGTTGGGGGCCTATCTCTATGTCCCATTCAGGATCCGACTGGATAGCGGGCAACGCAATCGTGGCTGGAGGCCAATTAAACTGTTCCACGAAGTGTTCTGCCCATCGTTCCAGTCATCTGCCCTGAGAGTGAATCGCAGATCCATCCTTCTGCGATATAGTCTCACCAACCGTAGTTGACCAATCGCCGCCGCCTTTTCCATCTCTAGCCCTCACTACCCACCACTGTTAGCGGTCGTTGCGCAGACTTTTTCTCAGTTTACTTTTAAGTTGTGCTCCCTCCTCACTGTACTCAGAGCCTGCAGGGATGCATTCACGTGCATCCATTAGTTTGGAAGAAGCTGCTGATATCCACTGGCTCTTTTTAGCCATTATTTTGGAGTCGGCTACAGTCTCCAGTGCTGCTTTTACAGCAGACTGAAGATGGCACCAAGCTTCTTCTGGATGAGTGACAGTCTTTTGTTCCGATAACTGCCTAGCCAACTTCTCACTGAACACGGCTTTGGTGTTTCCGTTGTCCAGCAGAACTCGTAGTGGTTTTGTTGCCAAATTTTTTCTACGTCCATTGAGACGCAGGCATATACGTGCTCGGACCAACGCATGATCGCTGTCCAAATACGTACTCCACCGATCCTCTCCAGCGATGACTAATAGCAATGTGGTCTATCTGTGTCCATCGCTGAGTCGAGCTCGGTGGACGCCAGGTCAGACAGTGCCTTTCTTTATGTCTGAAATTGGTGCTGGCTAAAAATAGGCGGTTATCTGAGCATAGTTGTAATAGGCGATCACCGTTATCTGTACGTTCAGCTGGGATTCCGAAAGTGCCACCTAAGTGCCTTTCTGCCTCACTCAGTCTACCCACCTGTGCGTTGAGGTCACCTGCAACAACCACTACGTCCGAACGTTTGGCTTTCGAGAGGAGGTTAGACAGTTTATGGTAGAACTCGTCCTTCACTTCATCCGAACTACAGTCAGTGGGTGCGTAAGCAGAGATTACAAAGAGACAACGGCGAGTCTCACTATTCCTTTTAGTTCTCACTGTGCCGTTCAGCCTCATAGCGCAGAGGCGACTATCAACTGGGATCCAGTCTAGTAGTGAGTTTTCTGCTTAGTGCTATGCCTACACCTGCAAGACCACGAGAGCTAGCTATCGAATCTCCAGAAACTCGAAGGGTGAATTTTGCAGATTCACCAGATTGGTCAGGAGAGGTCAGGTGAATAACCACACTTGGGTCCTGTATGCGTGTCTCACAAACACAGCACACATCCATGCCCGAGTTGCTAGAGTCTTTGCCAACGAAGCCTGTTGGCCAATTTGACGGAGGGTGCGGACATTGAAGGCTCCAATATGTAATTTGGAGCGTGGTTTAAGGAGACCAGGGATGCTGTTCTGTGGACTCAGATCGTTGTCGAAGGCTGCAGAGGTAGGAGAAATTGAAGATGATGCAGCATTATTAATTAAGAGACGTGAAGGAAGATTAGAAGGTAATGATGGAGGAGGAGGATAGCAGTCAGAAGAAACTTGGGTGCTGACAGAGTTGTGAGGGCGGTTGACACTTCCCGGCTGCCCACACCGTGGAAGGCTATTTCTTCTTAAGGTACCTGAAAGAGATTTGTGTGACCGCAGAGCCCATCGGACATTTGCTTGAGGCCTATCACATGCAGCCTTTGGTGTATGGTTGTTTTGGGGCCGGATGGTCGAAAAGCAACTACAAATGAACCAACACCACCGGCCCGGCATACCGTGGGGTATGGTGGAATGTCACTTTGGGGGCCGACCTTTTCTACCCCCGATCTCACTTAGAAGGCAGCATCAGCATGGCACTGCTGGTCATCAAAGGGAAACACCTTACCGCTGTCACACCCAATCCAGCAGCAGTAGGACTTTGCCCTCAGACCCCATCATAGTGTAGTAATTTACACCACAATGGTAACTGCTTTTCGTCTAACTACTATTTAACAGACCTTTCTGGTATGGTAGGGTCTCGAGAGAATAAGTGTTCCACCAGCATAGCTCGTTGGGTCACTGTGATATGCAGGCCCGATCGTCAAGGTACCAGCTATCGGTTGGGACTCGGATACAAAAGGACCGTTTGAGATTTACCAGCTTGCGTCATCTCTGGTGCCCATTGGCGAGATATCCGACCACCTATTAAAGGACGTGTTCTGGGATGCAGTTAATCCTGTCCTGTTATACTGCTCCGAGACATGGTGATTAGAAGTAGATATGAAGAGATCAGAAGTTTTTGATCATATGTGTCTTCGCAGGATTGCTAACGTTTGGTGGAATCACCATGTGAGTGATTTAGAGATTTGTCGAAAAGTACTAGGCAAGACAGGATAATCGATCGGTGAGATTGTGAACCTTCATTGACTGAGATGGTTTGGACACGTACTGTGGATGCCCAAACACCACCTACTTCACGGGTAATGTTTAGTGAAGTGCGATTATGTTGGAAGAAGGTTAAGTGTGGCCAGATTGAGACGTGACACCAATCCATGAAGTCACTGACTGTGGGTCTGATCTAGGTGGGGAAATGCAGACTGCATGACTGGGGGTCACGGAGATCATAAGAATCAGTGACTGAGGACTCTTGGTGATATAGCTGAAATTCGGTTACAATGGGGCAGATGACGTATCCTAAAGCCTGAATGTTTCGACTAACCTTCATTTTTAAATTCCTTCTTGTCCTACATACGTCTGTTTACTTTCATATCACTTTACCCATTTGTTCTTTGTATGCTACTGTGAAATGTGGCAACTTGAGCCAATGCACATCTAAACGAGGTTTTACGTTGATCTTGTGTCTCGGTTTGACATATCTTGTAGTGAAAGTGAAACACTTCCCTTTCATATTAATCGTACTCAGATTTGTAAGCAATAAGCAACGTTTTGGTCACGGGGCAATGCTCTGTAAATACCTTAAAAGTATGAAACAGGGTTGCACAAAACCGAACATTTCAAATTTATTATCAGGTAGAAAGATATACAGTATGATTGCAGGCTACTCACCTTCGAGGCTATTATGAACAAAACCGTTTCCGGATCCACCTTTTTCAACGTTTCTGCAATATGCGTTCCATCTATGTTTGAAACAAAGTGTACGCGAATATGTGACGCATAAGGCTTCAAGCACTCCGTAACCATGACTGGCCCCTGGAAAATCAGATAACAAACAAAATTAATGTTAGCCCCTCAATATACCACACCATAAAGCAAAATATTATCGTTAAGAAAAATTTAAAAAAATGCCGCACATTAGCGAACTAGGTTACGATTGACCTGACATTCGATTATTGAAACTCACGTATGTAGGACAAGTTCCTACGTGCGATTATTAAAACTAATGAGCCTGAACTCCATATAAAATACTATCTTAAGTCTCAGTAGTTACATGCGATCTGGCATCAGTTCAAGTTTCCCCAACTTACATCAAAACATCAAGATTCCAAGAGGCTAGATGACGAGTGACAAAAGGGGGAAAAGGTAAACAAAGACCGTTAGTAGTCATAAAGGCAAAACAGTGTTTCTTGAAGTGTTAACCTGGTTTGCAGTGCGACAAGGTTGTGTTCGATGAATAAGAATTTGACCTACAAGCCTGAGTCAATGTTATGCAGAAAAAACCAACGAGGTTCATTTGCAACCTAATTCCAGGCTTACCAAAAGCAACTTTGTAGTGAGAGTCACAATCATTTACCTGGATTGACAGCAAACACCGTGAAGTCTATCACCTTAAATATGCATTTGATGGCCTCAACAACAACACTATAACAGTGGCAAATACAGTGTCTATTCTTAAAACTTCGCATAAATGCAAAGTTAACTTTAAATGGTTACTTATTTAATAAAGAACCATTGCAACTGCAGAAAGAACAAAACATTTGAGCTGTCGTTTCGGCAGAATGCCCTAAACAGTACAAACTGGGCAAGCAATTAAATTCACTATTCCTAAATTATTGAAGTGATTCTGGAAATACTATCCGTTATCCAGGCGAACACTACCAATAAGTTATACAGTAGGACGTTGCAACTTAATTTACATGTTGACATCAGGTTTTTTTCGTTGACACTAAAATGATTGGGCAAAACATTCAAACTAAAAATGTTTCTTTATGGACAAAATATTCGATGAAGTCATTACTAAATACCACTTTAAAATTACAAAAACGAACTAAATTAAAACAACGAAGAAATACAGATTAACAGGGAAGCATGACGTCTCATTTCATGAATACTCATCAATCACATATAGCCTGAAATTACATACCTACGTCAGGATAAATGACAATTAGTGCATGATCATGTCGCTAATTCTAGATCCATTACATTGTCATTTGAACTACTTAAAAGGTGCCGCTGAACAATTATAGAAATATGTTAGCTGGCAAACAATCGGAAAACATCAAAACGAATGTGTTCAAAACTCATAAGATATAAAGGAAGATGTAGCCCAAAACGACAGCAAATTACTAGGGCGAAAAAGATAAATCACCGTTTTTCTGCATTCATATGTTAGGTTTAAACAGTCTAATTAGGGGTTCTGTTCAAATTAGTCAAGAGAATAGTGTCCACATTCCAGACCACTAGCTTACCAACTAGCCCCTGGACACCCATGCTACTTCCTCAAGCTTACTTTAGGTTTTTATGCTCATGCTTAAACCATACACACTACTGGGTAAATGTGCTTTATTACACAAATGCTGATCAGCTGCTAACGACTAAAAAGGAATCTAGAGAAACCGAAGAATAAACAGCAATACTTACGAGATCAGAGCCACCAATACCAATATTAACAACATCTTTAATTGGCTTGCCTGTGAAACCTTTCCATTCACCAGACCTGACAGAGCTGCAAAACTTGGACATATGTTCCAGAACTGCGTTTACTCCAGGCATGACCTAAAAACTGTTTAGCACTTGCAACATGCTTACATCTTTCCCATCGACTAAGATTGGTCTATTAGATCGATTTCGCAGAGCTATATGCAAGACGGCTCGGTCTTCTGTGAAATTCACTTTTTTTCCTTCCATCATACTGTCACGCATTTTCTCTACATTGCTATCCCTAGCCTAAGACGGATAAAAAAACAGAAACACCGAACGAACCAGTTGAATGAGTTGATCGAATGTATTGGCATCAATCAAGTTCTTAGAGTAGTCCAATAGAATAGTACCACCAGTAATACTCAAAACCTGACTAGAAAAGACGTCATTAACTATGTACAGAATACCTGAATTCCGCGAATCTATTAGGATTCGCAGCGAACATTTCTTTCATTGTGAGTGGAACCTTTTTGAAATTGCGTATAAATTCGTGCAACGCAGACATGATTTCGCGCAAAGATACGTGACCAAAGCTCCAGAGTAGTAAACCCAACGACCAAATCCCCGCGTTTTTATACCTTAAGATGCACACATGTAAGCCGTGTCTAATCCAATGTCCAATATCTTTTACGAGCCAGTGTGAACCAGTCGATTTCTTCACTCCTGCTTCTAGGTTTTGCGAAGTGGTTCCAGGTCTTTGGTGGATTCTGATGCAGTAGGTTTACTCATTCACCTACAGTAGTTCTGGTTAGCCGGATGAGCTAGGTGTTGAATAAATTTGTAGGGACTATGTAGTTCTTCCAGCGACTGAGGTGCAGATAGGTTCTTCGAGTGTCTTGCTACCAGACAGTTGGCTGGAATGGCTGTAGAAAGGAGACAGAAGAGATGTCCACAGAAATTAAAGGAGAGGTAGTGAGAAGAAAAAGAAACAAAAACGATAAGGTGAATGGAAACGGAACTAAAGGGAAGAAACCTAGGAAGACTTATGGGAGATAAGTGGTAGGTAGAACTTAAATAAATTGTGCGGAAACACATAGCCAGAGGGGACAGAAAGAGCAAGTAAAATTATGGGACGGGCTATGGGAATAGAGGTAATAATGCTACCAGTAGGAAGTTGTAAATGAAAGTGTCCACAGGGAAGTATAAACTTGAGTCAGATCCGCGACGATGGTGGGGAGGCATAAAAGGTTCGGTAATGGATTAACTGTGCTGAGTCGCGCGGAGTTAGTAGGTTGCATCAGCCCAGTCCATGTCCCAGCCAGATGAGCACAAACCCTGGGTCCCTGCGTAACTGTCCAACCTCTTGCAGCTGTCAACAGACAGAGTAGTAGCGATCTTCGTAGGCGGGGCTTTCCAGTGGTCACACTAGAAAGGAGAAGAAGCGTGAGCACACACTGGTTTTTCCCCTTTTGGTGAGCGGTTCTCCCTGAGGGGTGACACAGTAGCCATTCGGTAAGATTCCACTCTTCGGATGACTTGTAGCACTTAGCATTTTATAAGCCGTTACCAAGTTGGCACGCAAAGTACGGTAGGGTAGAGCCGTGGCTGTTTCAACTCATACTGGTAGGGTTTTTGCCCCAACCCCTCAACACCCTTTGTTACTCGCCTCTGAACCTTCTCCAGGAGGTTCACATCTCTTTTCGGGTGTGATGGTGCAGTCACGCTGTGGACCTCTAAGTGAGGTGGTTGTCAGGGTCTTGTACAGCCTCAGAAATGGTTCCGGAGCGAGGGCGCTTAGTTGTCTGAGCACGAAGCGCGGTTCTGCGTAGGCTCTGGAGTCATCTCCCGGGTAGTTAAGGCTAGTGTCAAGCTTCTCAGTCGGTGTTAAACCTAGGTCTCTCTCTATAGTGGTGCGTGAAAGTTGAGTTCTATGGAGAGAGTGGAATACTTTCTGAATCAGGGGTGGGGATAAACATGGTTCGCCACTTATCCGGACTAAATGCCAGTCCGTTGTTATACACCCACTCTACAAGCAATCTGAATCACTTTGCGGTGCACTTGATTCTACTCCGGATTTCGCAGCTCTTCATACTTAACATCGTGGGCGTGAGGTAGAATCGGGGATCTGAGATTCAATGGAAGGCTGTTTGCAAAAATAAGGAACAGCAGTGGACCTAGAATCACTCCTTGTGATACACCAGATGACGTTCTCTAAGTCGAGCAAACCTTGTTGGCTTTTGTTCAGAATTATCTGCCATCCAAATAGTCCCGCAGCCAGGACAACATTTGACCCTTGATGCCCAGACTTGATATTTTGCAACTGAAAATTGCTTATGAGACTGCGTAAAAGGCCACGGCAAAATCCAGGAAAATGACATGAATGGGAATTTGGGGGTCCCAGCGTGCTGTCCAGATGTCAATGGTTGCCAGAATATTTGAGGAGCGGGACCCACTCTTTCTGAAACCATGTCGAGCATCACTTGGTGCACCCACCTTGTCCAAGTACTTTGTGATGTGGTCGTCCACCATTACTTCTGACATCACTCGTAGAAGTGCTATGGGTCGGTAACATTTCGAGTCCCACCAGTTTCATCCCCTAAAGATGGGAGACACAATAGCATTTCCCACCCTCCTGGAAGCGCGTCGTTGTCTGAGGTGGGTTGAAACATATTACGTAGTGGAACGTATAAAGTACCTGCACACTGTTTTGACATAGCTGGCAGGATGTCGTCGCATCCTGGTGATCCCCTACACTGAGCTTCGACAGCTTTCGGAGAACCTTAACAGGGTTCACCTTTATTCCATGCTACTCTACCGCATCGAGTAGTGTTGAAGGTTGCCTGTGCAGTTAACGATTTCAGCTGGATGGCGGCATGTTCGGTTATGTGTTGAATGCGGCGCCATAGGTTTCGGTGGCCTTTAGTTCACTGGGTTCTCTTTGTTTGGGCCACTCATAACCCTAGCTCCCTGGATGGGGGATTTTCTGTGTCATAAATCTGTGTGGTGTTCTGGGGTTCGCCTCAAGCTTCCGGGCAGAGTCCACCTGAAACAACCTCCTGTACGCCCTCAATTTGACATTGCATTGATTTCTTAGAGCCATATAGGCAGTATTATCCAACTCTTTCCTGGAGATCCTCCGGTTATGCCAACCCTTCCCCTTCGCTTTCAAAGGGCGCTCAGTGCCCCGTCTAAGACAATGAGGTTCGCCTCTTCGGTACTTCTGTGACTACTAGGACGTTTTAAGAGATAGACTTCTTAATGATATCCTTCACCAGTTCCCTGTGCTTATCTATCGACAAGACACTCCACTCCCGGGGCCATGGTGTTGTTGACAGATACTGGTTCGTAGCCACGTAGCTCGCCTTGCTGAGGCAAAGACAAGAACGAGATCCCTCTCATAGCAGTCATTCTCTGAATACCAGATCAACGCTACCACACCACTGATATCGTCTTTAACTGCGCATCAGTCCAGTATCGTTATTCATCAGTGTAGCTCTTCGTCACTCCTTCGGTAATGTGGGTCAACTGCTTTTTGTCCCCAGTAATGTTCGACAACTTTGCTGCACTTTTCTCCCAGGTTTAAAGAGGTTAACTCACCGTATTGTTATTATCTGACTTTGATTTTTCACCCATTTGAGCACCACGTTTCATGTGCATGTTTTCTCACTGGTGAATTTTAAAACCGAAACTTTCAAAAGTAAGGGGATGAAACATGCGAACCCTGAACAGAATCATGGCAGCTGGAGTCCTGGTCAGCCGCAAGCAGTTTAAGCTTTAACTTGGATAAACGCAAGGTAATGTGTCTTTACACACCAGAGGTGGTGGAAATAAGCTACACTCTTAACAGGTGTGCAATCACCAAGGTATCCACACAGAGGGATGTAGGACCAAACGTTTCCGGTGCGCTGGATACTACTGACAATTATAAGGGAATGACAGCAAAGGTGAATGCCGTCATGCACTTTCTAAGAGGGCAGCTTGAATCGTTAACTCCAGAATTAGAAGTGTTCAGCACGATAACCCCCCATTACTAAGGAGGGCGAATACTCTCGAAGAGGTACAGAGAACGGCAACAAGGACCAACAGGCGAAAGACATGCGCAACGCCTCAGACAACTCAACATGTCGCACTAAGCCATAGTAGGAAACGAAGTGGCCCGATAACAGCCTACAAGATCATTCGCCAAGTGGACCACCCGGGTGGGTTAAAAGTTATCGGTTCAAAACCGACAGTCCCGTGGGAACCCCACTCCCATACGCCACCATAGTCCAAAGAAGAGACCGATATCCAACTTCTTCTGCCGCAGAGTATGTGCCTTGCGGAATGCTCTGCCGAAGGAAGTAGCCACAGCTACATCAGTCGACTCCCTCAAACGGCTGCTGGTTGAGTATGCGGGCGCGGATGGCTTACCGCCAATATCTGTCAGCAGCAACCTATGGTATATTCTTCCATCCCCGTATTCCCCAACCCTAGTATCTGCAATAAGACGCATCTCTCCTCCATATTATTACCAGTGCCAATTGCCTTTTCATAAGTACTTTTAGTTCACCCTATTTCCAGCACTTTTTAAGAAACGCTTACTACTTACCCGCAGGTACTTACAAAAACAGGAGGTGCAAAAGGTTAACTGATCTTATAAGCAGCTCCATCGCCACCCAAAAAACAGGCTGAGCCACAATTTGCAGATAAAATACCCTCAAATAAACAATCACTACCTCCAATACCATAGACAAGAAAGGGGGAAGACTTCCGCGATCATTGAAAGAGTACAACCGAACAAAAAGAGCCGAGCCCCAAGACCTGGAAGTGAGAGCTCAGAAGCTAAAAGCTTCCTCTGCTGAAACTACTGATGTTTGGTGTTGGATAGTAGAGAAAAAAATGAAAAGGTAGCAAGAGAACCCATACGAGGTGGTAGCGGATTAGTAAAAGCGATTGATTATGACTTTTTTGTCATTCATGAGTCTAAAATCGCTGGTCTGTCCACAAGGGGATGATGACTAGGAGGACGCCAGCAATCTCATTACCAACGGTCGTTAATCGACAGAACAGTTAATATACACGAAAATTTAATGACGGACCGTATTGTTTTCATCTTGCTTGTGACGTTTGTAAATTATCATATGCTTATCATTCAACGACTGTTAGGGTTCATACATACACTAAACCATGTCCGCAATTTTTGAGTCGTGGCATATGCCACCTATGAGCCCTTTTCATACATCCGACTGCTGTGGAACATTTGTAGCTCGGGATGAGGATGTTGTTGGTGGGGTTTGCGTTATCATTCCTAGACAACATCATCGGCGCACAGTTCATAAGGAAGAGATCCATACGATTTTCCCAAAGGGCAGTTTACGTTTCTCCTGACGAGCTAGGAAGTAATCGGTTGTTTCTTCTAAAGTCTTGCCTTTGTCACCACACATATTTGAATTAGTCGTCCCGTTGCTGTGAGCCTTGATCTCCTTTTTGTTCTTTGTGTTTTTTATAATTGCTTGAGTGATTGTGTCGATGCCAACACGTCGGTTGACAGCTGACTGAAATGTATGTTAAGCTTTCAAGAGCTCC